CAAGTAAATTATAAAGAAAAAGAAGGAGTGTCATTTATAATTTTTTCAAGAATAAAGTTAAAAAAAATCAACTATTTACTGATTTAGGGCAAACAAATTTATTTATGTAATTTAATTTTTAAAAATCGATTTTTGTTAAAAATCGATCGATTTTTCGGTTTTTAGCCGGTTCGCTTCCTTAAACGGTTCAACTAAGGAACCGGACCAGTTAGGGTCCCGGTTCACGGTTGAACCGGTCTGACTGGCCGGTCCGGTCCGGTTCTAATAACAGTGCTAATTAGACTTATTTGACAAAAAGTACATAGAATAAAATATGAATTAAAAAGACATAAATGTCTATTTTAGGGTCATTTAATTCAAAATATTTACCTTTAATGCACCTTGATTCATGTGTATTTATTAATACATATAAATACGTATTTAATGCACTTTTAATTCATGTGTATTTATTAATATATATATACACACACACATGTATATATGAATATATATACATATATATATATGTATATACAAATATATATATTTATTTATATACACACACATAAATAAGTATATATATTCGTATATATATATATATATATTTGTTGTTAAATCTCTTATTTAAATTTTGAATTATCTTTAATGCGCTTTGATTCATGCGTAATTTTTTTTGAAAAGTGATTTTGCTTTCAAATTATATTTAATGCACCTTGAATCAAGTATTTTTTTTTTTGAAAAATAGTTTTATTTTCAAATTAATTTAATATCCGAATAATGTAATAGTATAATAATAACAGTGTAACAAATACACTGTAACAAAGACAATGTAACAAAAACACTGTAACAAAAACAGTTTTAAGTAATTTTGTGTATATGGTAACAATTTCAAAACGGAGATGAACTATTTTGAATGAAATTATAGGAAAATATATGTTTGAGAAAATGTAATAGTTCAATATTTTGTATAAATAGCTTGTTACACTATTNTTTTTTTCTACCCTTTTTCTTTTCTACCCACTTTTTCTTTCTCACCAAACAATAAAAAATACTTCTTTCCCTTTCATTTTTCATCTTCACTTTTCCATCCTCTTTTTTTTCCATTCTATCAAATAGGACATTAGCGAAACAACTACGTAAAGCATTGGGCTACAAGCTACTCCGGAGGATCCATATGCAGTTAAAAAAAAGGGTTTTTTGGAAGCCAGTACATCTAATTAGCAATGTTATCAGAATCGGATCAGTCATCGAACCGGCAAGGGGATCGAGTCAATGGTTCATTGGTTCAACATTTGGGTCAACTGGTTGGACCGGTCATATAATAAAAAAAAATATATAATAATTATAAAACTTAATAATTTAGCTAAAAAATATATAATATGTATAAAATACATAAAATTTGCCATAAAATTAATGAAATTAAGTAACAAAGTGGGGGTTATTGTATTTTAAAGCAAAGTAAAGAGGTTCAAGTAAATTATAAAGAAAAAGAAGGAGTGTCATTTATAATTTTTTCAAGAATAAAGTTAAAAAAAATCAACTATTTACTGATTTAGGGCAAACAAATTTATTTATGTAATTTAATTTTTAAAAATCGATTTTTGTTAAAAATCGATCGATTTTTCGGTTTTTAGCCGGTTCGCTTCCTTAAACGGTTCAACTAAGGAACCGGACCGGTTAGGGTCCCGATTCACGGTTGAACCGGTCTGACTGGCCGGTCCGGTCCTAATAACAGTGCTAATTAGACTTATTTGACAAAAAGTACATAGAATAAAATATGAATTAAAAAGACATAAATGTCTATTTTAGGGTCATTTAATTCAAAATATTTACCTTTAATGCACCTTGATTCATGTGTATTTATTAATACATATAAATACGTATTTAATGCACTTTTAATTCATGTGTATTTATTAATATATATATACACACACACATGTATATATGAATATATATACATATATATATATGTATATACAAATATATATATTTATTTATATACACACACATAAATAAGTATATATATTCGTATATATATATATATATATTTGTTGTTAAATCTCTTATTTAAATTTTGAATTATCTTTAATGCGCTTTGATTCATGCGTAATTTTTTTTGAAAAGTGATTTTGCTTTCAAATTATATTTAATGCACCTTGAATCAAGTATTTTTTTTTTTGAAAAATAGTTTTATTTTCAAATTAATTTAATATCCGAATAATGTAATAGTATAATAATAACAGTGTAACAAATACACTGTAACAAAGATAATGTAACAAAAACAGTTTTAAGTAATTTTGTGTATATGGTAACAATTTCAAAACGGAGATGAACTATTTTGAATGAAATTATAGGAAAATATATGTTTGAGAAAATGTAATAGTTCAATATTTTGTATAAATAGCTTGTTACACTATTATTGTTATATTGTTACATTATTAGTGTTACACTGTTATTGTTACAGTGTTACACTGTTATTGTTATACTATTACACTGTTAAGATATTAAATTAATTTAAAAATAAAACCACTTTCTAAAAATAAAAATGCATGAATCAAGGCGCATTAAAAGATAATTCAAAATTTAGATAATCAATTTAACAACANCCATTCTATCAAATAGGACATTAGCGAAACAACTACGTAAAGCATTGGGCTACAAGCTACTCCGGAGGATCCATATGCAGTTAAAAAAAAGGGTTTTTTGGAAGCCAGTACATCTAATTAGCAATGTTATCAGAATCGGATCAGTCATCGAACCGGCAAGGGGATCGAGTCAATGGTTCATTGGTTCAACATTTGGGTCAACTGGTTGGACCGGTCATATAATAAAAAAAAATATATAATAATTATAAAACTTAATAATTTAGCTAAAAAATATATAATATGTATAAAATACATAAAATTTGCCATAAAATTAATGAAATTAAGTAACAAAGTGGGGGTTATTGTATTTTAAAGCAAAGTAAAGAGGTTCAAGTAAATTATAAAGAAAAAGAAGGAGTGTCATTTATAATTTTTTCAAGAATAAAGTTAAAAAAAATCAACTATTTACTGATTTAGGGCAAACAAATTTATTTATGTAATTTAATTTTTAAAAATCGATCGATTTTTCGGTTTTTAGCCGGTTCGCTTCCTTAAACGGTTCAACTAAGGAACCGGACCGGTTAGGGTCCCGATTCACGGTTGAACCGGTCTGACTGGCCGGTCCGGTCCTAATAACAGTGCTAATTAGACTTATTTGACAAAAAGTACATAGAATAAAATATGAATTAAAAAGACATAAATGTCTATTTTAGGGTCATTTAATTCAAAATCTTTACCTTTAATGCACCTTGATTCATGTGTGTTTATTAATACATATAAATATGTATTTAATGCATTTTTAATTCATGTGTATTTATTAATATATATATACACACACACATGTATATATGAATATATATACATATATATATGTATATACAAATATATATATTTATTTATATACACACACATAAATAAGTATATATATTCGTATATATATATATATATTNGATAAATTCAAATTATGTACTTGGATATAAATAAATATCAAAATTAAGTACTTAATAACCCTATATTTTTTAATATATATTTTTTACCAAATAAATCTAATTTGATGTAATTTACCCTAAAGGAAAACCTCTTAGCTGAGCCCATATTCATTAAAGCATTTCAGAATGGGCTGTCTGGAACATTTAGGCTTGGCCCAATAGACAAAAAAACCCTTCCAAAACTAGGGTTTTATCATCCCATCTATAAAATCCACAGAACGCCTGAATCTCCAAATGAGAGAGGTCCATTGCTGGTTGAGCTCGAGCTTCGTAGGCGGCTCTGTAAGTATTGACGCCTAAATCAATGTCAATGATAGCTTCTTCTATTTCATGCGTTTTATGCGATTTAGTTCGTATAAGGATAGGGAATGTGCATGGAAACGTATATGTTTTTTGCTGAAAAAATGACGTCGTCTATGTTTTCTCTCTGAGAAAATGTTGTAAGTTAAAAGAAATTAGCATCCTGAATCCTTTTATTTTGTATATGCGACATATATGTAATATATTTGCCTCTCCATTTAACTTTATACAACCTTTTAGTTTCTTTGAGTTTGATCTGTTTGATTAGATTGTGTACACTGGGATTGCGATGTCTTTGACTGGGGTTTTACAGATTTCAGCATTGTATCTTGGCCGCTTGATTTTTTTTTTTTGGGATTTCTTCCAGCTTTTTTGGGCACTAATTGACTACTCGTTTCTTAATGCGTAGGACTAATTAAATAGTTTATTTTATTCTGTGAATATGTTGGATATTGATTTGTTTGTTGTTGTTTTCGTTTTGAAATCAAATGTTTTCAAAAAAAAATTTACGTAGTGGTTTTTTGGTTGTTCAACTGAATTCAAATGATTCTATTTCTATTTGCTTGTATTGTAAGTTTTATATTTTTCTTCCTTTGGTGTATCTTATAACTTATTCATCGCTGAAATGAAATGGTATTGGTCATGTTTTCCCATTATTTTTCCTGGGGTAACCTTGACAACTATAAGTTCCCTGGACCCTGGGTTAACAATATCTTTGTATTAAATGCAATGGATTTCTGAGTAGCATATTTCCACCTCCTTTTTGTGCCCCTTTTTTTAGTTTTTTTGGAAGTTGAACATGTGCTGGTATCTTTAATGTTGTTGAAACTAATCCTTTAGTTTCTTGTCCTTCTGAAGAGACTTGTAATCATTTTTTTTTAGGTTTAGCTCTGTTGTGGTCGACTTGCAATGTTAAATAGGGGAATTTTAAATACACAATTTCTATAATTTTCCTGAACAGCAGACATATAGATAATGTGCAAATGCACTGTTTAAAGATAATTAGATAACAATAGTCCTGTGAACTCAATCTGAGGTGAGTATATAATGTGAAAGTGGAATTTTATTTTTGGGTTCACTTTATTTCAATTATTTAACTCAGTGTGGTTGGTATTTGTTACTTATGATTTGAGTCTACAGGTAAGTCATGGTTAAGCATAACAATGTCGTGCCCAGTGGGCACTTCAGGAAGCACTGGCAGAACTATGTGAAGACCTGGTTCAACCAACCTGCACGCAAAACCAGGAGAAGAATCGGTAAGCATTTTCCCATTTTACCTGGCCCCTTGTAAGTTATGCAAATAATCAGTGATTGCCTTCTACTCGTGTTTTCCTTTAATGTCCTGCAGCAGTCTACTGTTAAAAATGACCAACCTGTGAAATTATTTGTTTTTTTGAAACTTTTTCCAGCTAGACAAAAGAAGGCTGTGAAGATTTTCCCTCGACCGACAACTGGTCCACTTCGTCCTATTGTCCATGGGCAGACATTGAAGTATAATATGAAAGTCAGGGCTGGTAGGGGATTTTCTCTTGAGGAGCTTAAGGTGAGTTGTTTTATGTCATCGCCAGCTTAGTTAAGCATGTTTGTATGTTGCATCTGGTTTAAATTTGAAGCCTCTATTTGTACGTCAGAGGGAATAGGCAAGAAAGTTTAATGCTTTGGCCTGTACAAAATTGTATTATCTTGGTGCATTTATAAATATTTTTCTTTCTTTTGATTGCTGTTATTCCTTCCAAATATCCAAAAGAAAGCCTATTTTTGTAATCCCTTTTCATCATATGATATAAGGGGTCTGCTTTTGGGGCTATTGATACTGGCCTATATACTTGTTTTCTTTTAAATCCACATCTCATCTTTCTCCTAGTGTGTGTAGGACAGAACTAAAACGGGATGTTTAGTTTTGAGACCCAATTGCTGTAATTAATCACAATAGTGTTGGAGAGAGCACATTGTGCATGCATCTCAGATCTTTTTCTTTTTGTTTGTTTATTTAGTATAGATATCATCTCTTTCTACAATCTTGGAAAACACACTATTATGATGACTCCCCCAATTATGCTTGTTATCCCTGTAGAGGTATATTGATATTCTAATCACCTAGCTGCTCTGTGGGATGGTCTGACCACTGTTTGTGTTGATTCAACCAGGCAGCGGGGATTCCAAAGAAACTTGCCCCTACTATTGGCATTGCAGTTGATCATCGTCGCAGAAACCGCTCCCTAGAGGGTCTCCAGACTAATGTCCAGAGGTTGAAGACTTTCAAGGCCAAATTAGTTGTCTTCCCAAGACGTGCTCGAAAGTTCAAGGTATCATTGCCTGTTGCTTCACTTATACTGATAACTGTGGTTATTTGTTTGTGTCATATATGATATTTGCTTGACATTTCTTTGGCTGCAGGCTGGTGATTCTGCTCCCGAAGAATTGGCAACGGCCACACAAGTCCAAGGTCCTTACATGCCCATTGCACGCGAGAAGCCAAGTGTTGAGCTTGTTAAGGTCACAGATGAGATGAAGTCATTTAAGGCCTATGACAAGCTGCGCGTGGAGCGGGTGAACAAGCGCCATGTTGGTGTCAGGATGAAGAAGGCTGCAGAAGCTGAGAAGGAAGAGAAGAAATAGTGAGTTCTAGCTGATTGCTGATGCCTGCATTGTTTTTTTTTTTTTGCTCATTGGGTTCGTGTCTAATTACTGGGTTTTGTCTGAACGATTAGAAGTAGCATTTGTAATATCAGTGTTAAGCTGTATGAATTTTGGGATTTCTTGATTATCTGTTTGGTTTTGCGTTCCTNATTCACGGTTGAACCGGTCTGACTGGCCGGTCCGGTCCTAATAACAGTGCTAATTAGACTTATTTGACAAAAAGTACATAGAATAAAATATGAATTAAAAAGACATAAATGTCTATTTTAGGGTCATTTAATTCAAAATATTTACCTTTAATGCACCTTGATTCATGTGTGTTTATTAATACATATAAATATGTATTTAATGCATTTTTAATTCATGTGTATTTATTAATATATATATACACACACACATGTATATATGAATATATATACATATATATATGTATATACAAATATATATATTTATTTATATACACACACATAAATAAGTATATATATTCGTATATATATATATATATAT